ATCAAAATACCACCTAGAACAAACCAAATCATTAAATTACCCGTTAAAATAAAACACGGACATGGAATTTTAAATTATACAAAATTCGGAAATAAAACCGAAATGCCTAAAGCTCTAGTCAACATTTCAAATAACTTTGCAATCACAACCATTGCAAATTCAGGAGAAAACCCGGTAAAACTAGTATTTTACGAACCTTTTGATATTGAATCCATCAATATTAATGAAATTACCTTCTATGATAACCATAATATCCAGGCTAATCATGAATTTAATTCAGTTGAACTAAGTAAAAGACAAGATATTCTTTTAAAAGCCAATTTGCAAAATCTTCGTCTTGAACACTGCAACTCAGAAGAAAAATCCTCTATTAGAAATCTTTGTATGAAATATCGAGACATCTTTTATTGTGAGAACACCCCTTTAACATTTACCAACAAAATCCGACACAAAATAAATTTAACTGAAGAAAGCCCAATTTTTACCAAAAGTTACCATTATCCAGAAATACATAAAACAGAAATTAAACAGCAAATCTCTAAAATGCTTGAACAAGGGATTATTCAAGATTCAATCTCACCCTGGTCCAGCCCAATTTGGATTGTACCTAAGAAGTTAGACGCATTAGGCAAAAATAAATGGAGAATGGTAATTGATTATCGAAAGTTCAACGAAAGAACAATTGATGATAAACACCCGTTGCCAAATATCTCAGATATTCTGGACAAACTTGGAAGAAGCCACTACTTTACAACGCTAGACTTAGCTAGTGGATTCTATCAAATAGAGATGCATCCAGAAGACATACAAAAGACTGCATTTTCTACAGAAAACAGACATTACCAGTTCAAAAGAATGTCATTCGGTTTGAAAAACGCACCATCCACGTTCCAGTGCGTCATGGATAATATTCTACGAGGACTCCAAAACGAAATTTGTCTTGTATACCTTGATGACATCGTCATTTTCGGAACATCATTACAAGAACATAATGATCGCCTAAAGTAAGTATTTGATAGACTCCGAGAATCAAATTTCAAGATACAAATGGATAAATCCGAATTTTTGAAATAAGAAGTACAATACTTAGGACACGTAGTTACAACTGAAGGAGTAAAACCAAACCCAGATAAGATCGTAGCAATCAAAAACTTCCCTATTCCAAAGACACAAAAAGAAATCAAATCTTTCTTAGGACTTCTAGGATATTACAGACAATTTATAAAAAATTTTGCCAATAACGAAACCTTTAACAGCATGCTTAAAGAAAAATGCCACCGTCAATCACACTACCGATTTCAAAAACTCTTTTAATCATTGTAAAAGTAGTCTCCTCATAAACTCTCCAATTTTACAATATCCAAATTTCACCAAACCTTTTACCCTTACTACAGACGCAAGTAATTATGCAATCGGAGCAGTATTATCTCAAGGAAATGTACCTAACGACAAACCAATAGCTTATGCCTCCAGA